TTCCAATTTTTCCTTCAGTTTTTAATATCTAGAATCTTCTGCCAACTTGGCTCGTTTAACTTTTTTCTGTCGCCGTCTTTTTCATATGACGCAGAGGCGTCGCCCTCAGCGCTGGTAGAGGGAATGGGGCTGTAGGTGATGATGTCCCTGGAGTCATGTTGGGACGGAGGAACCGCTGTTTGGCTCTTCCCTTGCCCCTAACCACGGTGCCATTCCCCTCATCCTTCTCCTTAACCACACTAGTGGCAGGCGTCGGTTTCGGGGGCAATTTGGGCTTGGACCCAACCGATGGACTTTGCCCATCGGTCCGCCTCGCAGCTAGACGCATTACAGGTGCCGCGGATCTAACCTTATCGGCCAAGGGGGTATTTTGGTCGCCTGTGACCGGAACTCCAGGGGCCTTCTTCCCTGGGCAGGAGGAGGAAAGGTGACCAGTCTCTCCACACCTCCAGCAAGTCGGTCGCCTACCAGTCACAATGACCGGCATTTTCCGGTCACCTAAAACCAAACAGTTGGGGACGGACTTGAAGGCCTCTTGATCCAGCATGATGTCAAACGTCCATCCCCCGTTCAGATTGTCGGAGAGAGCTCCTAAAATCTGGCCATACTGCATAAAAAAAATGCAGCTAGAAGCTCTCCTGAAATTTGAGGAGGAACCTCAAAACGGCCCCTGGTCTGCCTGCGGCCCTCATACTCAGTTCTCAGTATAAGATCCTTAGTTATAAGTTCTTTTTTGGCCATAGCCAGGCAATCTTCTGGTGTGGGCAGCAGAATGTCCCACATGAAGAAACCCCTACCTTTAATGACTCTTTGGGGTTTTATCCCCAGGGACAAAAGTGATTTAATCACAATGTCTTTTGTGGAGCGACAAATCTTTTTGTTTTTCTTGTCGACCACAAAACGGTCACCATTCTCTTGGCGAACATACCGGAGTTCCTGGACATCATCGACGAACCCATCTTTCTTCACCAGATGGGCGTATCCTTTCGCCTTGTCCAGGAAATCCGCCATGTTCAGTATACAATTAGAGGGGACTTCCAACAAGAGGGCGACTCCTCACTAGCTTTCCCCGATGCGTCTTAGGGGCAACATCGTTTTGGGACTTTTCCCTTTTTGGAGGAACTCTGGTCAGTTTTGGGGTTGTTAGCTTTTGGGCTTTACCAGCCCGCTTTTTTGTCTCATCCTTTGGGTTGGTGTTGTCGACCTTCCCAAAGAGGTCTTTTTTCACTTTGGACCGACAGCCTTCGTCATTATGATGAAAGGTTGTGAAAACAACCACTAGCGGGGTTTTTTTTCAAACACACAGAAAAAAAACACAAAATAAAAAAAAGCCTGGATAAACCAGGAAAGGGAAAAAAAAAAAAAAAACTGAAAACAGGTAAGACTTTCTAAAAAAAAAAAAAAAATAAAATAAAAATGGCGTGTTGAAGGCAGCCCAAAAAAAAAGAAACTTTTTTTTTTTTCCAAAAATTCAAAAAAGTACAAAAAGGAAAAAGAAAAAAAAAATAAAGGTTTTCGGTTGAAGCCGATGAAGAAAATAAATTAAAAGCAAAAAGAAAAACAAACTAGTCAAACCAAAAAGAAAGAATGCGACCAAGGTCGCTAATTAATTAAATAAAAAAAAAAAAAAAATTTTTTTTTTTTTTTTTTTCCTTGAGCTGTACTAATTAAAACAAAAACTAAACAGAAATAAACAGAAATAAAAGCAGTCGTCCGGTAAGACTTAGTCAAACCGGACTAAAAAAAAAAAAAAATATGAGGGCCGAAGCCCAGAAAAATAAAACCAACAAAAGAAATAGAAAGAAAAAAAAATAAAACTTAAAACAATAACTTAACAGAAAAGGACGTAAAAAGTTTGTCAATCCAGAAGGCTCCTGCAAATCTTCACAAATTCACCTGATCACCCTCCAGCGGGCCAAACCAGTCACACAGAAAAACACAATCACACACACAACCGGTCAGAATAAGGTCAAGAAGTTGAGTGAAGACTGTTAACAAACGAAGACCTCTTGACTGTCCGCTGTGGTCGTACTTAATCGGCAACCAGTCCGTCCATTATCGTGAATGGGGAAGTTGGGTTATATCATCACAACAGAATAATAGCCTAAAATACTGCAGGTATTAAAAAGCTTGATTTTTTTGGAGTTGATGGCAAGGTTAATAATGAAACTTTGTTATATAATGAAGTTATAGGGGGAGAAAGGTGACGTTAAACTAAAAACAAGGGGCACAGTACACCATTTAGTATTTGCTCAATAAACAGGAACTGAGACTGGAAAATATCTGATTCATAGAGCAGTTCCAACTACAGATGCCACTGATGTTGTTCTAATAGAAACAGCTTTTAGTGTTTTGGAAGTGTTGATAGTATAGACAGTCTTAAGGCTGTTTTTTCTGGACAATAATTACAAATACTGGATGTAAGGTAGACATTGTACTTGCCCTGGAAAAATAGCTCCATCGAAGATTACATACAACTTACTGTTCATTATATCAAACTGGTCGGCGGCTGAGTAAGACAGGGTATCGCACGTGCTAACACACGTTGTATGTTAAAAAAATTCATTATATCAGAATTGGTTATCATTCAGAGCTGTTTTTAAATATGTTGATGGTACAAAAAGCCCGACTGCTTTTACAGGTCCACTAGGCGAATTGTGTGGAAGGGTCTATCATGATTTGCTACAAGTAGAATTTATGAAAAAGTGGCTGTCTTGATAATATGCCATTTATAGTAAAAATGGGGGTTCTAAGTAAAGACCAAAGGCTCCTTTTGGAATATATTCTAGGGATTTCTAAAAGTAAAGTTAACTCTACATTTGCTGCCTGGAAAATTGGACCATTAAGTAATGAAAGATTAAGTAATAAGGAGGTATGGTGGAGTAAGGGATAGCGGCTTGGATTAAGGAGTTCGAATTCCTGTCAAATCCATTACATTCAACAACATGTTACTAACCTTGGGAAAGGTATGAATCCTCTTCTTCTCCCCCTAGCTATGGGTAAATAGCAGGACATATCGAGTTCTATAGCCTTGAATTGCAACTGGTCTGCTGCAGAAAGAAATGAAACCTACTACGGGAAAAATGACTGCCTCGTCAGTCATGTATCCAAAGATATGTGATCGCCTAAGCGTGTAACACACATGGCACATAACTGATTGTAGTAATGAAAGATGGTTAACTTTAGGAACAATGTTAATAAGTATGTAGACCACAGGTAAATATCCTTTTAGCAAGCAAGTTAATGAGTATGAAGACCAGAGGTGCATACCCTTTGAGCAACCAGGTTAATGAGTATGTAGACCAGAGGTACCTGCCCTTTTTAGCAACCAGGTTAAAAAGTATGTAGACCAAATGTACATACCCTTTGAGCAACTAGCTTATTGAGTATGTAGACCAGAGATACATAGCCGTTTAGCAACCAGGTTAATGAGTATGTAGACCAGAGTTACATGCCCTTTTAGCAACCAGGTTAATGAGTATGTAGACCAGAGTTACATACCCGTTTAGCAACCAGGTTAATGAGTATGTAGACCAGAGGTACATGCCCTTTTAGCAACCAGAATAATGAGTATGTAGACTATAGGTATATACCCTTTTAGCAACCATGTTTATGAGTATATAGACCAAAGATACATACCCTTTTAGCAACCAGCTTAATGAGCATGTAGACCAGAGTTACATACATTTTTAGCAACGTGGTTAAGGAGTATGTAAACCAAAGGTACATGCTTTTTAACAGCCAGGTAAATTAGTATGTAGACCAGAGGTACATACTCTTTTAGCGACTAGGATAATTAGTATATAGATCAGAGTTACATGCCCTTTTAGCAGACAGGTTAATAAGTATGTAGACCTGAGGTACATATCCTTTTAGCAACCAGGTTAATGAATATGCAGACTAGATATACATACCCTTCAGAACTCAACTTATTAAATTAATTATTGAAGTGTATGTATGACCGTTAGAGATTAAGAGTGGGTAGTACATTCCATAACCAGCAGCTGTATATATTTAATATTATCCAAAGTATTAAGAAGAAGTCTGAAAAAAATTCAAAATATGGCATTCAAGACCCTCGAATATAATGTTTTTGCTCTGTTACCCGAGTGTTGTATTTGCTGATGAATCAGAAGAGTTGGAAGTGAGAAAAGTCGCTTTTGGAAAAATTCTGTACTTTAGGTAAGTAAATATAGAGAAATAGGCTAATTTATCCGGATTATAAGGATAGTTTTGAAGTTCTATTCACGAAAAAATAGAATAGAACAGTTATGGTTTGATTAATTAAAAGAGAAATTGATTTTTTTTATCCTTTCAGAAGTAGGAACCCACCATAGAAAACGTCGAGTGAAACACAGGCTATTAATCTTGAAGCCTTGCATTGGTCAGAATTGGTCAGTCTATCCCAAAATGGAATTTTTGAACATGCAACGATTCAAAATTTTCAGAAAATGGAATTCAAGCATCTCTTATAAATAACACAAAAATTAGAGAGGCTGATTTTCATTCATATTCCCAGTGTGTTGAAAGGGCGGCAGTGAAATTAACATCTGCAGCTTTTCGTGTTGTTTATGGATTTGAAGCAAAACATAGACACATTCTTGCGAAAACATTACGTCATCAAGTAAGATCTTCCTTTGTTTCTAAAGGATCTTACACTGAAAATGTGGATGATATGATTATTTTAATACTTACATTGAATTAGTTTTCATATAATATAAAATTTATTGTTTTGCTATTGAAATAATAACAATTTTCAATCAAATATTGGCAAAATGAATGGCTTTTTTATTGCATTTCCTCAAAAGGAGTCTAAAGGTAGGAATCTAAAAATTGATGCGAGTTTTTATCACATTAAATCCAAATTATCTAGACTTGTCTAAAGCTGATTTGTGGAAAAATTTAAAATTGACCTACCCTAATTGATAATGAGCAGAATGAAAATATATATATATATATATATATATATATATATATATATATATATATATATAAAATGATCAGAATGAGATAGATAGATAGATAGATAGATAGATGGGAACAAAATAAGATAGATCTGAACAGATAGATAGATAGATAGATAGATAGATAGGGAGACATTAAAATATAGAGTGATTAATATAAACATTAAGAATTACAAAAAATTCACAAAATTAAATAAGTGGCGGGTAACACATGTAAGAAATATTTTTTACCAAGATTTTCTAAAAAAAAAAATTGTTTCTAAAATAATTTAATTCATTTATGAACAAGTCATGAAAATTTTATTAAAATCCGATATTTATTCGATTTTTGCATGAATGTCAAAATCTGTTTTCCACCGCAAAAAAAAACGCTAAAATTGCTTAAACTAATTTATAGTCACCAACATTTTGAAGGTTCTAAAAAGGAGTAAAACTTATAATTTAATAATTAAAACATCCTTTGCTCTTCCCTCTTAATAATAACAATAAGATGTTGGCGAGGTACCTATATATATATATATATATATATATATATATATATATATATATATATATATATATATATATAAAGAAAAAAATACTTAAAGTAGAAAAAAAGTTTTCGTGTGACGTGCTTCATACGCATGTACACGAAAAAAAAAAAAACAGGACGTTGCGATTTTAATTTTATTTTTTTAATCTATATTTTCTTTATATACAGGGTGTCCATAAAGTTCGTGTGCACTTTAAAAATTTATTTGTATTAGCAATAGAAATAATTTGTAAAAAGGATTAGAAAGAAGTAAATCTATATCTTTTAAAGTTTTATTGAAATTTATTTAAGTTTCCACATGTCCTCCATCATTAGCAATACAAAGGGTAATACGCTGGAAAAAAGAAAATATTTTTTTACTTATCTAAAAATTGTTGCAAATTTTGTGGTAAAGAATTATTCAATAACTATATACTTAAAACTAGGGACATTAAACTTTATAACATTTTTTACAGATTATTTCTATCGCAAATACAAATAAAGTTATAAATTTTAAAGTGCACACGAACTTTATGGACACCCTGTATTTAATTTAGTTTCTTTTGGCTCACGTTTCCATCATTTTTACTATTAAATATCCCGAATTTTAATATTAGGTTGGTGCAAAAATAATGACGTAATAATGTCGTTTTTTGACGTATTTTTAACGTCAAAAACCGACATTCTTACGTCATTATTTTTGCACCAACCTAATAATAGATCTGTCATGAAAGGTGAAATGTTATAAGAACATGGACGCAAATTTAACGCGGATGATCTAGCGATTAAAGCACTTTCTATACATTTTCGTTTTATTCAATTGCTTTTTCTTTTAATTGTTTTAGCCTTTTTAAATCAAAATTATTGTCAAACTTATTACAGTTACCAACTAATGCATTTAATGTGTTGTTTTACAAGAGTTCCCTTTTGTGTTCAAGTAATCTTTTAATTAAATTACTTGATGTTTCTTTTATGTTTCCCCGTGGAAATTATTGCAAATGATAGAGTAAATTCATACATGAAATTTTAGCTTATTTTTTATTTCCTAAAATTGTTCTTGATATGTCAAAATTTATATGTAGCGTTTTCCCATATATACATATATAACATATGCATGTATTTATGTATGTATGTGTGTCTGTTTATGTATGTATGTATGTATGTATGTATACGTATATACTACAGGTTGGCCCAAGTCTTATGAATCAAAATGGGAAGAAGAAACTGTTCGAAATCCGTCGATGGTTGTTAGTGAAGGTTTGAGCGTACTGGCTTGGTTCAAATTGCTGATCAGGGCAGATCATCCGGTTTTTGCCAGAAACTCTAAGGTCCGTTTAGCATAGCTGTAGTATAAACATCAAGCGGGCTCTGTGGGTGTTGAGCAAACAAAAATATGCATCAGCCGGTGCCTACAAGAGGGATTAGCTAGCATCGCAGCAAGTGAATATGCTCATAAACGAGTAGCCGGTCATTACATATATATATATGTGTGTGTGTGTGTGAAATGAACTAAGTCCGATAATTATTTTGATATATTTTCTCTTTATACGTTATTTTTATAGATAAAAGCATCTAAGCAAATGCTTTGTTTATAATAAACAGTATAAACAACATTTACCGGCCTGAATGTCTGAAAATCTCATAGAAAATATGTGCCCTCCGACAGGAATCGAACCTGTATCCTACACACAAACGTCATATAGCCAGACGAGAGATACCATTTAGCTACAGAGAGGCCGGGAAATGTTGATAGTACTGTTTATTATAAATTTATTTAAATATAAAAATAAAGTATAAACAGAATATATATATATATTAAGAAATGGACAAGGTCCGACAATTTATTTATTAAAGACATATTTTTATGTTTAACGTTGTTATTTTATAGATACAAGTATTTAAGCAAATGCTCTGTTTATGATAAACAGTATTAAATAACATTTACCGGCCTGAATGTCCGAGAAATTTTCATAGAAAATTTTCGTTCTTTGACAGGATTCGAACCTGCATCCTATACGGAACCGTCATATACGCTGACGTGCCTTTACCGCTTGAGCTACAAAGAACCAATCGGTAGACAAGGTCGAATTTACTGCTTATAAACTCCAACTTTCCATGAATCTCGTACATTCATAACTGCTCTGGCGTATCGAATGTAAACAAATGACGTCATATATTAAGAAATGGACAAGGTCCGACAATTTATTTATTAAAGCCGGTAAATGTTATTTAATACTGTTTATCATAAACAGAGCATTTGCTTAAATACTTGTATCTATAAAATAACAACGTTAAACATAAAAAACATAAAATATATATATATATATATATATATATATATATATATATATATATATATATATATATAGTCCAATGAAGTCCTAAGAGATGAAACGCATAGCACGAAAAATTTTTACACTGTCATACATCTTTTATCCAAAATGTTTTTTGATATATAAAATGTATATACTGTTATCTTATATTTTCTTTATAAAACTTATATATCGTTATCTCATTCATATATATATATATATATATATATATATATATATATATATATATATATATATATTTGTATAATTAGCAGCAATCCTTCCTTTATGCATGTTTCGTTAAAAACGACAGACAAGGTACTACAGTTGAGCTTTTTTATTTAATTTTTCTTGTGTTCTGACAAGAGCTTTCTTTTCTGGACAAAAGAGTGTAAGAACTGTCCGAATGTTCTGTGTTTTGAGCGCTTTCGGCTATACTTTTTAGCCATTATCAAAGATGGTTCAATGATGGATATTCATTATCAAGTAGAGTGTGTGTTCTATGTATTTTCAGTGTGTGGTAGTGATGTTTTAGTTTCCGAATACAGTTATACATTGTGGCTTTGTTCATAATTGATATTGTTAAGAGTTGGCTTTTTCTTTTTTATTATTAGAGCTTCCATTATTTTTAGTCTTTTTTTGCAAGTGGATGCAGTTAATATATTAGTGTTTTCTTACACACTCTTTGTCCAGAAAAGAAAGCTCTTGTCAGAACACAAGAAAAATTAAATAAAAAGCTCAACTGTAGTACCTTGTCTGTCGTTTTTAACGAAACATGCATATATATATATATATATATATATATATATATATATATATGGGTGTTGGGGTGTATTTTATGTGTATTTGTATGTGTGTGTATTGTGCATGTAGGTTTAGGTACACGTCTGTATTACTTCATTTATATCTCTATTGCTATGTGTATGTGGGTATCTATGGCTGTGTGTACGTTAATGCATGTCGCTGTGAGAGTTTGTGTATGCGTATTTCTATGCAATTATTCGCGTGTGTCTATGTCTATATATTTTTTATATGTATGCATTTGTAAGTATGAACACGCTTGTACGACTGTGTCTGTTTGCTTATGTATAGATATGTATGCGTATATCTCAACGTGTCTATGTGCGCGTGTCAATGTGTGTATATCTACATCTGTGTGCGTATGATTGTGTGTGTGTGCGTGCATGCGTGCGTGTGTGCGCTCGTGCGATTTACTTAATCATTAAATTAATGTCTCAAAATTTATTCCAATCTTAAGTCGCGAATGGCGAGAAAAATGGATATAAAACCAAAGTTTTTCTAGATTTTTATTGCTCCGCTGGCATGAAATTTAACCTAAAATTGAAGGCATTTAAAAATGTTGTTTATAGAAGTAACGTCCAATGGTCTATCCATGACTTGTTTATCTCCTAAAACACTTTTACTAATGACCATAAAATTTGGCAGTTGTTTACGCGAATCTAATTTGTAGATACGGGTTGAAAACGCAATCCATATAGACGGTAACAAGTGCATATGCATTCATCAAATTATTTAGGACAGTCATGGGAAAACTGTGGCCCGTCGGCCACAATCTGCCCGATTTGTTTTTTTCGATGGCATGCCTAATTTCATGAGGAAAATAACGTTTATTCAAAATGCTGTTTGATTCTTTTCATTCTCACTTGTTCACTCACATTCTCTCATGCATAACCACACACATAAACCATTATTAAGTACAATGTTTCTTGAATTTTGTAACTTTTCGTTGAAGATAACTTTGTCAGCATTTTAAACCATTAACGATTTTCACTAAGGAAGAACATACGTATAAAAATCTTTTGCTTCAGAAACAGGAAACGTCAATGATAATTATTTTTCTTTTACAAATATTTTTGCCTACTCGAATAAATAAATTAGAAGCAAATCATATCCAACAACGTCTTTTAATCACGATGTCATCAGTGAGAATATTATACCAACACAAATTTTTTTTTTATTATTCAAGGAAAATGAACTTTTCAACATTTCTAAGGCAGATGCTTTTTTTTGGAAAATTCCTGTAGCACCCTTAATAAAAAATATCTTAAATCTTTTAGGAGTGAGGCCCGACTTATGATGTACTATTCGTTATGCCTCCCACTGTTCAAAAATAGTTGCCCATGCCTGTTTAAAAATGTCGCTTGAATGGATAGCTTGTAAAGAAAGGAAAAAAATGGTTGTTCTCTTTTGTCTTAGCAGGTCACAATTTCTAAATTATTAGGAGGGTGAATATCTTTAAATGTTAGAATAACGTCGTTGCGAATTTGAACTGATAATTTTTTTTACAGTAGTGTTCACCCCGTACAAGGCACGAAGCCACTCAAGGTAGACCGTTACAGAGCAATTTATGCGAATATATGGGCAAGATAACGGCTAAGTAAACATACATTACTTGAGTAAACATTAAGTACTTTTATTTTACTGTAATTTGTTTGAACTTCTTTACTAATCACCTTGAACTCACAATCCCTAGGTAACTCATTTCGCTTAAGAAAAATACTCGGCGATATATCCCGCAATCCGAGGTAAAACCAAGTTTAGTGTTAAATCTAATGTCTGTTTGCCTCTCTAGATGAACTCGAGTATAAGACTTTATAGAACCTGTAATGGGCAAGTTAATGTTTTTATAGTTTCGTTGTATACGTCTTATCAACCGTTTGCAGGTTATTTAAAGCCAGAAAACATTCTTACATTCTAAGAATTTTTTTCTGAGATAATAATGGCTTAGTGATTAGTCTTACTGAAGATGGCAGAAGATGTGGATTCATACCTTTTCAAAGAGTGTTTGCGCGTAGGTAAAAATAACGAACCCAACTGGAATTGGAAACTTGGCTCTCCGATTAACAATTCTGAGGCATTATCTATTCCACCACCTGCACATCCAAACTTACAGAACCGGGTATACTGATCGGGCGGTCACCCATCTAGTTACTGACAAAGCTTGACGTTGCTAAACTTCAGTGACCGTTCCGGAACAGGTGTTTCAACTTCATGTGGCCGCAAGCCATGTAAGTGAAAGATAAAATAGGACAAAAACTCTGTACTTCACTCCGAGAAAAAACTTCCTCAAACTAATAACAATTACTCCCATTTATAAAATGAATGGGTTGAAGAGAGAAGAAGATAAAACAAACGCCGGTTAAAATTAACATCGAAACGTTAAAGAAACAGGGACGCTTAGCTTTAAATTAAAACGTTGTTAACCTGTGCATCGAATTGCTTAACTTCGCTTTCTGCTTCTTATCACTTTTGTCTTTGGTATTGTTTTGATTTGTATTACTGTTGTTTTTAGTTACCCTACTTCGTATCAGTATTCGTTTTGTGATTTGGCTTGACTGGTTTCGTTTTGCGGCCTACAATATCTATGGGACATTTAATGCCGAAATCTAAATATTTTGAACGCAATTTTATGGCTTCAACTTCAAATATTTTGTGCATAATTTTATACTTTAAGGGTAAACGTATGCATTATAGATATATAATTTGTAGATTATTTATTGCAAGTTTTATATGTTTTACAGTGTAACCCGGATATAAGAGAGTTGTCGGGACCGGAGAAGAAGTCTATTATATCCGGGTTTCTCTTATATCCGGATTTGGTCTGTTTTATATACATTAACACAGGCTCTAATTTGGGACCAGAGAAAATCTCTCTTATATCCGGGTTTCTCTTATATCCGGGTCTCTTATATCCGGGTTACACTGTAGTAAAATCCTATTTCTTTTGTTTGGCCATTTTTGTTTCGCGACATGTCAACCTGTATGTTAAAGGTAAATTCTAAATATGAAATCTCTGATTAATTCAAGAGACTGACATTACTTCATGATTAAATTATAACTACTTTTTTTAAACAAATAATCTTATAAAATCGAACGTGGAGTAAAAATTGTTTCTTCTTACAAGAAATGAGATTAAGCATAGCAAATTGTTTCTTTTTTTTTAATTTTTTGACAATGTATGCAATGTCTTCAATTTTAGTATGAAATGTGTTGACGGCCATTTTGCTATAAAGTGCATTGTTCGTCATTTTACTATAAAAATATATTGCTGGTAATTTTGCTACAAAAATGTATTACTGGTAATTTTTCCGTAATAATGTTATTGGCATTTTTTACTAAAAAAAAAATGAATTTTTATACTTTTCTAGTTTTTTTAGTCTCTCTTTTTGTGGGTTCGCCATTTGCCCTTAGCTTAACAGATGCTAGCACCTCGTGTCAGAGTATATCTAGAAACAATGGCAATTAAAAGGTGGTTCCACGCTCCTCAAAGCCTTCACTGTCCCGGTCAGAGGCCTTGCTGCCGAGTGTAGTTTATCATTATACCCAGGACTAATTAGTAAAACAAAATATGTTATATAATCCTGAACGTACATTTACGGGAGAGAAATTTGATATTAGTGCTTTTCGCCCTTAATAAATTACATCCGGTAGTATAATTAGGGGGTAAAAGTCAACGGAAGGCTTTTGTATTTTACCCAATTGTACTCAGTTTTATCTAGACCGTTATTATAATTTAGCCTGTGTGTTTATTTTTTTCAATTGCCTTCTAATATTTCTCTAATAAAATGATAGAGTAACACTTTACTATCAGTATAATACCTCGAAAATCAAACTATTGACGTTCAATTATCATCGAGTAGAGCCAGAACTTACACGGCTTGCAATGAACGAGTATTTCCTCAGAAAGACTCCGCACCTTGAGCGCCTTTTGGGATTTAAACTCAACCTAGATTTCAAGTGTAAATCGTGCTAAAGATGCTGTAAAATTCGTCGGTTCACTGTAAGCTACCCAGATGTCACTCTCCAGCCTTGAGTTCAAAAACCTCTTCGAGCCCTTGTGGGTGTCGAATTATTCTCCAGCCTCTCTTCCACAGGCGAGATGTGGCAAGACTCTCACTTCTCTACCGCTACTTCCACGGAAAGTTCTCTAACGAACTACGTTCCCCCAGTTCAAAACCTAACGGCAAGGAGACGCCATGCCACTTACATAGTAACAAACCACTCACATTCACTCCGTATTCAAACGGTGACCCGAACAGCTTCTTCCTGCGAACCATGGCTCTATGGAACCGAGTTCCAAGAGGATGTTTCCCTCGTTCAAGGCTAGATTTAACCGTTATCTTCCTCTCCTATCCGTACAAATTTCCTCCTAACGTAACCCTTTACCTCGAGTGGTCCCCGGGCCTTGTAATAGGTAAACCTTAGTGTAAATTTTTAAAAAATACCTCTCTCCTGTTATCCTCTCTACCTTTACAGGAGCTACGATAAATACTGCGGCAGGAGCTGCTCAATCTACACTCTGCTTCAATTTTCCACAGACGAAACATCGATAACCTCTCGCTGCTATACAGCTTTTTCCAGGAAGAGTGCTCGGACGAACTGCATTCCTTAGTTTCACCAGTTCTACCCTTCACGGCTAAGACACGCTATGCCACGCACATTGTAGTGAACCACCCTCATTCTCTCCATAATCCATTCGAACAGCTTCTTCCTGCGAACCGCTGCTATGTGGAACTGACTCTCAAGAGGATATTTCCTCAATCGCTATAAATTTACCCTGTTCAAGTCTAGAGTCAAGCGTTATTCTTCTCCATATCTCTTCATAAACTGCACTTCTTCTTTTATAAACCTTTACCTCGAGTGGCTCTTGGGACTTGCACAGGGTGAATATAACTGTAAAAAAAAAAAAAAAACTCTGGATTTCTTATGCTATGTATTCTTCCAGAATTATCATTATATCTTAGGCTAAGTTTATTCAATTAAATAACCACGATATACGCCAGACTTACTAAATATTATATACCGTATTTTCCTTTCCTGAAAAGGATAGAACAGAGAAATACTTATTTAATTCAAGAATGTGCCTATCACAACTTCCGTCGCCAAAAGGTAGATATGCGCCCCTCCTCCTGGCGTAAAGGATCCAAGCCAATAGTTGCACAAACACAAAGAGACGAGTGCCCATGACAGGTCGAAGGATCAACACAGCCGTTGACGATCAGAAACAACAACAGTTATTGATTTGGGTATAGAAACCTTCTGAAGCGAACAGTAACACGGAAGCAAGATGTCCGGCAGCTTAGTCAAATTCTAAGGCCGCCAACCATAACAGATTGATGGAATATTCGCTGACACTCAGAATGTGTGTAACAAGCGCACTGATCGGACTGCATTATAAGCACAGTGACGTAGAATGTCTCAAGTGAAAAGAGAGTGATCTCGTTCTAAAGTCGAAAGATGACAAATCAGTAGAACCAGACGTTTACGCATGCGCGTGGTGAGAGTGTAAGGTGAACAAGAAGTAATGAAGGTTTCGATTCTGTTCTTCATTAACATATATTCTTTTTTTTTCTTATTATTATATTTCCCTGACACAGAGTATGATATAAACTACAGGTTATTTTATGACCAGAGTCACCGACAGTCTGCCTGATGTTACCAAACTTTACCAAGGCCTTACTGAAACAAAGACGAATTATTATTTGAAGGCGGAGAGGGCGAAGCCAATTGATGGGCATAGGCAAGCAAATAATACAATGCACTAGCGAACGATGCTGCCTGAATATCGACAAATATTTGAGACAAATGTTTTCATTATTTTTGACAAGTTCTCGTATTGACTGAGATTATCAAATATATATCCGTTGTTGATTTCCTGTAGGTTTTTAAAACGTATATAAGTTTGTACTAACTGAATACTTACCCTACGGACATTGGAATACAAATTACTGTATTTCCTGTCCTTATTCGATGCGGATATTTCCAAAAAATAAAAATACGCTGCATCCAATACAGCAGTATCATTTACGAGAGGGACGTGAAGACCGCGTAAAAAAGTCTTTCACCAGGAATCAGTGCACGCATAGAGCTTAGTTCTGAAACTAGGATTCCTGGAAGTGAAAAGACATATCAATAAATATATTCTTGACAAATTCACCCAGAAAAAACAAATTAAGAAATTTATGAAATTGCGCAAATATTTTGCTGCTTGTTTTGTAGAAATACCAGATTTTACAGAAATATTTGATTTGTGTGTATGTGTGTTTTTTTTTTATGTACAGATATTGGAATTTGTTTTTCTGCAAATATGGTACGGAACTTCATTTACCAACAAGTACCAAGTTTTTTTTATTTTTTACCTATTACCATGTGTACCAGTGTTCAGTGATATCAGTAGATTTCTTTGTAGCTATTATGAACTTACTATATGTGCAGATATTGCTCCCTGAAAAACAACTAAAACAATTTTTAATAAATACCTGATGAAATGTCGTAAAATTCTTTTCCCCCAAAAATCTGGCAATTAAATCTTACCTCACTTCTATTTTAAAAAAAAGTATCAGTAGTATAATTGATACTAATACTCTTCATGGTTAATGAGAATGTCAATGAGAAAATAGCGAGGTAAGGTTATAATTTTGATTTTTTTTGTTATTGTGAAGAACTGATTTTTTTCCTAAATATTCCATACCAAAAACTGGGCGCGTCCATTGATTGGCTGCGGTCAATAGGCCAGAAAATACGATAATATAGAAGCTTCCTAACATCTTTAAAATTTCTGTTTAAACAACATTTTCAGCGAAAGATTTTGTAAAGTTCTTTTTCTCATTATACTAAATTCGTTAGAATGTCATACTCCAGATATAGCTACCTAGAGCTGACTATTAAAAATTGTTTGAATTATTTTCAAATAATAATAATTAATAATAATAAATACATCAAACTTTTTCACATGTTTAAATAAAAATTATTTTGCCTTAAGATAATTCTGTTATTACTTTTCGGCTTCATCCGAATAATCATATAATAATTCTGCTTGTCTCTCCTTTCGTTGGTTAGTTAGTTCGTACGACTTTTACGTCCTGTCAGTACCTAATAATTAATAGACTATACTGTTCTAACTGCGTGAAAAGATTTGAATGGCATAGCAGAGGCGGTAAATGGTTTCAATCAGAAAATGAAAGAAAGAAGTGTTTAACGTCTTTTTCAGTGAAATGGAAAAGTTTTCAATTTCAAATCTTTTCATTTATTTCCCCTTAGTAAAATGACATTCATGCTTACGATTGTCATTGCAATATCTTGTTAAAGTTGTTGAGCTCAAATATTTAATGATGGAATAGGGGAATTTCTACGTATGTGTTATTGTCGGAGAAGCTTTTCCAGTTATTAACTTCAGAATTAAGAAAAACTTAAGATTGAGAAAAAAACACAGTAAGTTAAAATAAGTTTTTTTTTTTTTTTCAGGAATATTGTCTCACTCAAGTGAAAGAATATTACACACGTGTTGAGAAAATGAAAGAATATAACAAAAGGGAAAACTCACGTAGCAAACTGTTTTTTTTTCTTTCTGAATAACCTTCAACCAGCATTTCTAGTCTATTTATGCATCTCAGTGCATTCCATAAAAATGAAGAGGAACATTTCATTGTTTACTCTATAAGAAGGAAGAAATTGAAAAAAATTTTTCACCATTTTCAAATGTGCGAAAACCGTACTATTTTTGGCCAGTGTGTCTTTATACGCTGGTAGATGCATCTAAACAGGAACATTTTAATGTTTTGCACATTTAAGAGCATTTAGCATCTGAGAAACGTATTCTTCTCTTGCGTAAATGGAGAAAACGATGTTTTGACTGAAGGCATTTTGTCGCATTTATCTGCTATTTACGCACGCAAACAACTTTGAATTTATTGTGTTTTAAAGGGAAAAAAATCTCTCTTGGAGTTAGAATAGTGAAAAATGAACATCAGCTCTTATACCATTATATTCTATTTTGATGTTCTGTTAATGGTCATAATATCTATTGTTATAAAGTTTCAATTCAACAGGGAATTTTCGAAATAATTTGTCGGCTTACTGAGAAACAAAATAAAGGGCCAACACATGGCGTCCAGTGACTGCAAATTATGCTGTTTTGCATGAAATCCAACGCTATTTTCACCATATATATATATATATATATATATATATATATATATATATATATATATATATATATTGTTTATATGTTATTTTTATATATACAAATGTGTATATTGCTAACTAGACGCTGCCTCTGTAGCTAAATAGTATAGCATTCAGGTTATCTGAAGCAAATTAAGTATGTTATGCGTTGTTTTCCTCTGTCCCTCTTGCCCTCTATCTGTCCTGTGAGTATCAGATTTTCCAAACCCTCTTTCCTTATTATGTACCTTAGAAATTTCTATTCTCTCGTCCTGATGTCATGTATAATTTTCCTCTCTCTAAAACATAGTATCCTCAACATCCTTCTGTAGAACCACGTTTCTGTTCCTTCAAGTCTCAGTCGCTGTAAAAACCCTCTGCTCATGTTGCTTACACCATTACCCCCCCCCGCCTGTAAAATGTACATTTATATGCTTCTAAAACTTGGTGTAAATAATAGTGTCTACCATAAAGAATTTCATGCTAACTTCCGTCTGAGTGTGGGCGTTGTCTTTTTTATTTATTTATTTTTTTTGAACACCAGCGGCTAGAACGTTTTGATGGCCAAAATGTTTACATCACAACATTGATGCTACACACACACACACACACACACACACACATAAAGAGTCTCTCTCTCCCTGTCCCTTCCTCTCTCTCTCTCTCTCTCTCTCTCTCATACACACACAAAATCTTAGCTTCAGGAAGGCCATAAAAATATGTCCTTTGATTTTTAATTACTTCTTGCAAAGATACAGCAAAAAACATTTTTCTTTTCATTTTGTTTTTTTCCATCTTAACTTGATGTAAAATTATTGTGTTTTTTTGGTAGTGGTGTTGTTTGTGTTTCGTTTTTATTTTTATTTATTAAACAGGCTACAGCAGAAGTACCTCCCACATATACCTGCCAGAAATAGCTCCCACATAATGGTAAGACATTAGCCACCGGGTGCGGCAGAAATACCTCCGCATATTAAACTGTGGTGCTAGTGAAATTCGGGATGTGTCAATGGCTGCCTTCATTTAGCAAATGTCTTAATATTATGTGGGGTTATTTCGGGAAGGAATTTTTGTCGCATCCTGTACATGATTCGAGTTTTAATTACTTCTCGTAAAGATCCAAGGAGACATGAAGGAGTAATTGATAGTGACTCAGATTGACGAAGCGGAGAACCGAGTTTGAATTCAAGTCGAGTTCATTGAATTTAACGTGCTCTACCTCCAGTATTGGCAAATAGCAGGGCGGACAGCATCTTATAGAATTGGTTGACAATCAGCGATCTAAGAGAAATACAAACTCTGAATTCGAAACCAGCCTCGAGAGTTTTGAGTTCTATAAGGCTATCCTAGGTACTGCCACTGGTATGACACTATGACTCCAATAGATTACTGGTCTCATAAACGAATGAAAAAAAAAACATTTTCCTGTTCCTTTTGTTTGTATCTGTCTTGACACAAAATTCTAATGTTTTTGTTTATTGATTTGGGTTTTTTTTTAAGCATTTCACCCGAAGCAAGGCGGGAGTGCTACTAGCACGTAAGGAATTACAGAGAGTGGGAGCAAGAATAAAGATGCGTGATAGAGGAAAGGATTAAGAGAAGGACAGTGAATTAGATCAAGGGATCTGAAGATGTCGATTGACATTGCATTTGAATACTTGAAGATTATAGCTATCAGGGGAAACAAGTAAGAGGAAGGGAGTTCCACGGACGAGAAGTGCGAAGCCTGAAGAAATAGAAGAGATGGCTACATTTAACAGTTTCGACAGTGAAAGTGTGGTAACGAGATGCCAACCTAGTAGTAGCACGATTGAATTCATGCAGTTTGGGAACCAGCCAAAGTAGCACGTCGAAGCAGAATGAAAAGACAGCGGGAAGCTACGGAACGTCTGTGAGAAAGTGACAGTAGAATAGATGCCAGATCAGGACCAATCACATTGCATATCTGTCTCTGGATTTTGTTGAGGATCTTAAGACGAACAACGGGGACTCAAGACCATATATGGTAGCAGTAATACATGCAAAGATGATTGGTTGATTTATAGATTTGAAGAATGGACTCAGGCAAGAAAAGCTTTCTGGCACGACACACAGAACCAAATTTCCTTGCGGTAGATGAAGCTATAGATTCAATGTATTTGTTCCATCTCAGATCAGCGGAGAGTGTGAGACCAAGCAAGCGCAGAGAAGCGATCTCGTTGAGCTGAGCATCAGAATTTCTAATGGGAGACAGGTAGGGTTCTCTGTGGTGGGCAAAAGAGAGCAGTTTTTGAGGCCTTAAAGTTTACCAGTCATTTCTTGCCCCATTCAACCACAGAATGGAAGTCATTTCAAGACCAACAGCCAGGTTAGTTTTGCTGTTGATTTGTTGTGATTTTATTTATATTTATTTATTGCAGAACTTAAAATACATTTGATCAAGAACTCATTTAAAATGTTTGAAAACAAATAGGCAGGAGAAAAAAAAGGTATGTTTGTAGGCAAACAATATTCAATTAAGAAATAAAATTTGCATATGCTTTTGTAAATATTTCCATGTTTATTCTCAGATTAGACACGAGATCATTAACGCATTCTACCTCAGTGTAATCTGTATGATCCCTCAAATAATGTAC